AACAGTCCTGCTGTTGAAGTTTGTTGGTTTGGGGAAAACGATGGTTGGAAAATCTAAGACGCAGTTTCATGCTGCTGAAGATTTGCCCTTCCTGGGATGACCATGGCAAGACATTTGAAGTCAAGGAAGGCACAATTTGGAGAAATTCTAAAGTAGAGGAGGGGCTGCCAAAGGGACAAATCTACTCTCTTCAGTGGGAGAGACCAAGTTCTACCAGACGGAGGCTGTGCCAGTGCCAGTCTGAGTATAATTGACCCCTTTCTTATCTCAGTAGAAAGGAATAGGACACAGAAGTGGCAATATATACTTAGCTGATGTGCTAGGCTTCATACATAACAAGATAGACTTGGCCCAAAGAAGGAAGCTTCACATATCTAATAAATAATGCTGAATTTTAGAATGCTTTAGTAGTTGAAAATATGTCCCTGATTCATTACTTCTGTCTTTTCCCCCTGCTGCTTATTAGGTGGGCAGGCAGAGAGAGCAGACAGAATAGTTTAAGCTTTTTAAAAATTGATTATCAAAATCAATCAAGTCATTGTCGACCCTTAAAGACCACATAGATTTTCTCCAGGACGATCTGTCCCTAACCTTGTAAAGGTTAGGTTACATGTAAAGGTTACATGTCCATAAGTTGTGCTTGTGTGTAAGTATTTTAGCTACTATCTTTGCAACGTTAAGGATTCATTCACACTTTATAACATGCATGACAGAAAAGTACACCCACATTAATAAGTAAAAGGACCCAAGAAATATGTGTGATTTTATCTTGATGTTCCATATTGACTTCATTTGGCATTTCAGATTTAGTAAACATTAATATAATTGTACAGTGGGCACATAACCAAGCTAGCTTTTTCTGAGTCAAATGTGTTTATTTGTGCTTTTAATACAACAGCATGTAAAGAGAAACAGAAAAATAGCTCTGGATTTAAAAGAATTTAAAAATAGCTGTGGAATAAAACAGTTCTCTTTCTTGAAAACAGATCAAAATCATTTATTATGGGTAATGTTGGGTGTTGAACAGTTTTTTTTCCCCTCACCTAGATTATGTGCAGCTTGTTTCTAGAGATACATGCAACAGTCTTAGTATTTAAATATAGTTGTAGGAGATTTAATGCCTCAGTAGGAGGCAGCATCTAGCTGAGCTGAACTCAAAAGCTAAGTAAGGTTGAGCCTCAGACTGATGGATGACCTCTCAGCAATTGCATGTAGATGTTAAATGATGCAACCTCCTTTCCCCTCAAACTTCACTTCCTAATTAAGAAAGAGTGCAAAGAGTATCCCCACTTTGCAACCATCATAGGCAGTTTAAAAGGATACCACAATTAATGGTATTGGATGCCACTGAGGGGGTCTAAAAGGACCAAGAGGGTTGCACTCCCTCATAGGATGGAATTTCCATCTCATGGCCAGACCGGAAGCCTAACTGAAAGAGCTCCACATAATCTGCTCCATCTAATAGTATGGGTGGCTATATAAATATAAATAAATAAATAATCTGGACAAGTAGCTCGCATGATACTACCTTGCATGTTACAGCCTTCCTAGGAGCTTCCCTTACCTTCCCTACCACAACTTGACCCAGAAAGCAATCTAATCACAGCAAAGGACTGATGGTGATGTGCTTTAATTCAAATCATGTGTCACCTGCTCTGAGGTTCAACCTGTGACCACTCATATGAGTTGAGTCTGAGGATAGTTTGGGACAAGCCCATCATTGCCACAGAGTCCATAAATTCCTGGGCACACCTGGATTCCATCCCCCGAATGTGGATATTGAAATCTCCTGGTTCTATTAGCTGAGGAGATTCCACCACCACTGGCACTATGAGATCCAGACATATCCGAATGGCTACTGCTGGCATTTTACGTATTAGCTGCACAAATCCAAAAAGCATGTGGAGAAGGGATTTGTGTTGAGACCCTCAGGAACAGTAAGCTGTTCCTTCAGTGTCAAGAGGAGTCATTCAGAGGAACTGCAAATAAGCAATAATACTTTGAGGGCAAGTGGCATGAGTCTCAGAATGGATGTGATTGAACAATGCTGAGAGTAGATCAGAGCACAAAATTGTGTCTTTCACATGATATTAAGAACTGCAAAGGAAGCTTACTTTGCTGCTATTATTGTTTCCTCTAGTGACTATCCAGTAGAGTTGCAGAGTTTTCTGGTTGATTGAAGGACTGTTATAATCAGGCACAGTGATGGAGACAGGAGAATCTTCAGATGCCTGCTGTGAAAAATATCCAAGGCCTGAGAGCAAATCACAGGCATTTCCTTAAAGCTTGATGTTCATACTGTATTGTAAAAGTACAGTAATGGCATTCAGAAAACCATCAACTCAGAGTGTGTGGGACTGGTTTCAGCTGCTACGGTCTGATAATGGGCACAAGGTTTTGGAAAATGTCTGGCTGACCACATGGATTTTTGATCCATCATGGCATGCAGAATCTAGCTAGAGGTAATTGATTAGGCAATTAGTCCATCTTTGAGCCACAGGGATGGTGCCCTTAGTCTGCAAAATTATCATCCACTAAAAAAAAGCCTTACAATAAAACTGCTGGCCTCAGCATGCACAATAAATACTTAATTGATTCTTATGGAAGCTGATCCAAATGAAATTATAACCTTTTTTGGTAGCAGGCATACTCCTCTAATCATATTTGAATGTCTAAATTCATCTTGGTTTTCTGCCATAATAACATCAACCTGTTTTCAGAATTACTTCTGCTGCACTTTTATTTTTCTATTGAGAAATATTAAACTATTCTTGTAATCAGACTGCATTACACTTTGGAAGATTTGAGAGAATTTGGCTTTCGCTATAATCAGGTCAATTTTCAGATTAATTTCACTTGTGTGACATCTAAACAGTAATTACAAACTGCAATTATACTTTCCCTTGTAAAAGGTTTCATTTGCTTACCTAAAAGTTTCTGCCTAAAACACATTGGCTCAAAGACTCAAAGATTGGCTCATTCATCAGAAGTGTGAGTCATAGGAATAGAGAGCGCATAAAATATACAATCAGAAGGGAATAAGGTTTTTTAATTGGGATTCTCATATTTTAGTGACATTTTCCCATTTTCTAACCTTTTACAACTTATCCTGTAAACTATCAGCTTAAATTTTGCATAGGTTTGCTGAGAAAGTTAAATGTGTACGCTCGAGCAAAATTCTAAAATTAGAAATAATCTTCAAGTAGCTTGAAGAAGGAAAAAACAGCTGATTTATTGGATCCCTCAGTCAAAAATAATTTAATGAATTTTGGATTGATTAAGTTTTAGATTAATTGTGGAACAATGAGTTTGGTAAAGCTTACCATTTACTTAATAAAGGTGCCTAGATGGCCTCAAAAAAGTGTTTTTGATAGTTTTGATACCTCTTTTCATAGATCAATGGAGAAGGCAGCTGTGTTCTACAGTAATATGACACAATACTAGTCTTTGTTGTCTAGTCATAAAATACCCTTTTACCAGAAGCCAGTCTGGTGAGATTATTTCCTATCTTCTCCGATCTGTGATCTTGGCTTATTTTTTCCTGAGGAGATGGGCACCCTTCCAGACAAAGTATAGGATCTAATCACATATCATTTTTATTTTTAAGAATGCTTCTGAAGCTGGTGTGAAGTATAGAACTGGCACTTTGCTGGGTGGGCATGACGCTTCACTGAATCATACTTTATTTTGGAATGGGTATCCAGAACAGAATCCATGCCAGAAGTATCAAGTTTCTTTGCTGATTCCCCCCCCCTCCCTTTTTGCAGAGTGATATAAAAATGTTGTAATTACAGTACAGAATCACCTATAATTTGCTTTTTAATACATGGTTGCATCCAAGAACCTCTCATTAGCTTATGTATGGAGCAGTGCTCCTGAAAGCCACAAGAATCTCCCAGATGATCAAAGCTGCTCCCTTGCCCATACTCCAGGGTCACAGCTAATGCCATACCCAAACCCAGTTGGGCACATTTCTGAGGGGGGCACCCACCCATCCCATGCCCAGCCAGGCCTCAGTGATACATGCGTGGTGGGCTATCTCATCAATGATTAAATTATTAATGAAGCAGGCCTCATGAGAGGCCGATCTGGCATTAAGTAGCAGCAGCTGGAGACCAGGGCCACCTAAGGTTGATGACTGGGCAAAGGGATAGGGTCCAGGGGGCTGAAGTGTAAGACTGCTACTAAACACTGAGACCATCTCTCCAGCCATATCTCCTCCTACCCATCACCAGGAAGTTATTACCTGCCCTTAACCCTCCCCACTACACATTTTCTCACGGATCCTGTCATCTCTCTGAGGTAGGCCAAGCCCACCAGTATGACTGGAACTCAACTCTACTGAGATAGCCTATAGTAACAGAATCTTAAAAGTCTGATGGTGTTTTTCCTTCCCTTCCTCTTATATCCCAGTGAATTAGAGTGGAGCCAGTCTGAGCTTCTTTCTAACACTTTCTCTGTTTCCCAGACTTAAAGCATTTTGTTTTTGTAAGTGGCTCTACACTCCCCCCTCCATCCTTTCCATGGTCCAGGTATCAAGGACCCCTCTGCCTCTCATTCAACACCCCAACTCTAAACCACCATCTATGCACTATCACACATCCACAGCACCCCCAATTACTCCTCTTCAGGTCAATCAGGATAAGAAATCACAATCAGCAATTGGTAAGCTAGGAAACACCAGCTGAGGGGAGACTTGAACTTGGTTTTCCCCACTCCTAGTCCGAGACTCCACAAGACTGTGGAGTACATTGACTAGTGTAAAGGCCATTTATTTTACTTTATTGTGAAACATTAAATTTGAATATTCCCCACATGACTGTATCAGACAGGGCAGTCTAGAGGCTGCCGAATTTAGGAAAGGAAGAGGAAGTTCTAATCAAAGCTACTGTAAGTGTACTGTGACTGATGACGCACATGAGTCAGAACTCAGAGAAGTTCAGAAACCTTTTTGGGAAACAAGCCTTCTATTAAATGATAGGTAGAAGGGAATCTTCTGTGGTTTGGCTTTTACCATGTTTTCTTGCTTGCTTCTGAAACAGATCCTGTTCATGATATTAACAGGTAAGTACATTTTTGTTTGGTAGTATGATTTTGGTCAGAGTTTTGGTAAGTTATTGTAATTTCTTGCATGTATAGAATTAGGATGGATAGATGAATGAAAGCTAATATATTGACACCATCTTCATATGTTATTTTTACATCATAGGAAGCGAAGGTAGTATTCATGCTTACATTAATTCACCACCAACGCGGTGTCTTATTTAGACTGTGCATTAGTGTTGATACTATTAATCTTCCAATAATACATCTGAATCTTTTTTCTAATATGAGTGCAAAAAGAAGTAAAAGTCAAAATAAAAAGCATAAATAAAATGTATACACTTGTAAATTTGAGGCTCTTTGATTATCCTGTGCAGGGAACTGGATATAGGCAGTGGGTGATCTGTAATTTTCATTAATGTCACTCGGGAAGGATTGGTTGTAACCATATTGAGACTATCAATCTAATGTTTATTCCAAATGTCATGGGTATCTGGCTAAAAATATACAGCAGTGACAACTGTATGCTAAGAACTTTATTTCTCAGTATAGAATTATCTCCATTGTGCAAATATGTGACTTAATTCTATTTTCCCAGTTGTATAGAATAAGAACATATAATAGGAAAAGGTGGTCTTCTATCTACTGAATACATGACAAAAGTGGTGTAAGGATATGAGAAACAAACTTTCAAAAACAGAAATAAGCTTTTAAAGTTTTTTTTTTAAATTCAGGATGTGATAATGAATTCATCATACCATAGCTCTGAACCTCCAAAGGTCTTCCCATCACAGCAGATGAGTAGTCCAGTGTCCTTTCATTTGTGGTAAAACAACACATAATCTGCCAAAGAAACAGATTTACTTGTTTGTTGAGGTGAGAAGAGAATGTGTGAAGATGCTATAGACCATCCATCAGAAAACTTCTAACATATTATCAAATGATGTCCCTTATTATTGACCAGACATTACATAAATAGAACTTCCACAGTGAGGGCATGCTACTGAAATTTTACATTTTATGAACAATTTTTAAAAAGGTTAGTTAGCTATAAATAACTGCTTTGGAGGGAAGAAACAGTTCCTGTCAGGCAACCACAGTGTGTGCGCGTTTGTGTTTTTTACCAGCATTGCCATTCTGCTTTTATTTTCTTTTTATTACTCAGCACACCGAGGCAGTGATGTCATAGTATCTACTTGGGAGGATCCTTCAGATGTAATTTCATTCTTTTTGAGGAAAGCTGGTTAGATGAAAATCTTTTTAGAAGCTATGGCCTCATTTGTCCCAATTCATCCTTTTTTTTAAAAATAATTAATTGTAACATTTTCTCTACAGGTTCCTTCACATCATGCGCTGAGACTGTTATACAAGGAAAAGTGGGTGAAAACATCACTCTACCCTGTCATTATTCAGTTGAGCAAAAGGGACTCATATATACTTGTTGGGGAAAAAGTTGCCCTCCAATAGGTCGTTGTTCCAATGAAATCATCAGCATTAATGAAAAGCTAGAGATAGATAGGCAATCCCAAAAATACCATCTAATGGGAAATGTTGATCAAGGAGATGTATCTCTGACCATTGCCAGCATAACAAAAAATGATGTGGGACCATACTGTTGTCGTGTGGAGATACCAGGCTGGTTCAATGATGAGAAAAAGCATTTTAAATTACTGATCAAGGAAGGTAAGCAGAAGATTTAAATTAGTATACCCCTTCAGTATACTACAAAGGATTTTTTAAAAAATATGCTTTTAAGTTTGAAAAGGAGTATTATTTTTATGAACTTAATCTAATGACTCTCTTGCACTGCAGTGTTAGTACCATCCAAAAATTATACACAAAATGATATTTACATGTGTTAGGTATTAATTATGACAGCCAGTCAGTCATTAACATTATTTGTTCTGGGTTTCATTTGACAGGAAACTCTTCTGTTGTGTCCTTCATAAAAGACATGACCCTATCCATCCAGATATATATGCATGCAGGGGTCTGTATGTCCTTTGAAATGATGTGTCTCCAGTTATGTGATCTAATTAAAATAAAACAACACAACATTGAACTGTTGTCTCCTGAAGGGTCTGTTAAAACACAAATATCAGTCTCTCTAACACTATAAGATTTGCTTAGCAGTAAAAATGGTGGAAAGTTGAACAAATTATAGTGAATGATCCATACAAATTATATGGAATTCTGTCTTCCAAAAGGTTCTACTTATTCTGTGCAAAGACACTTACTATATGAATACAAATTTGTTTTATAGTAATGATTTTATTTTTCAGCATTGCTTCATACAACCCCTATATATTTCAGTACTTCTAATTTTGTTTCTGAACCAAGATGGGCATTCACTACTGAATCTCCGCTCGATGTAAGTACTGTATCAACATAAAAGTGTGTGTGTGTGTGTGTGTGAATTGGTAGGTATTTATATATGCTGAGTCTTCTGGAAACCTAGCTCACTTTATCTACTCCTTTGGGTCTTCAATTTTCAGTAACTGACTATAAATTTTAGCAAATGTGACTATGGTGAGGTCTCAAGGGAAAAAAAAAAGGGAGGGGAAGGAGTTGGGGTCCATGAATCATTGGGGCCCATACCTGCCATATAATTATCAGGTTCCAAATACTAGGCATCAAAAGGCATTATGACACTTCTAAAGAGGTTTATTCTGAGGATACAAATGACAGAAATAGCACTGAGAAAATACAGCTGAAGCTGATATTATCTGAAACCTTAACCAGTTATTTGAATTGGAAGCACTCTACAGTTAATCTGTAACGGAAAGAAATGCACCTCTTTTCATTGTTTCCATCCACATCTTGATGAATCTGGGCCTGTTAGATTGGCCTGTCCCAGGGAACTAATGGACATGACTGGGTTCAAGAGGGAGTTTGGAGTTTTCCCTGAGGATCTGGTGGGCGGTTTGGCTGAGGCCACAGTTGAAGTCTGCAATGGGTAAACAACAGAGACCTTAGATTATATTGCCTGTATATGGCTTCTACCTGTGTGCCAGTCCCAGGATGCACACTGGTTTTCTGAGAAACTCTGAGAGATGAAGAGCAAGAAGAGAAGCCTAGTATGGCTTTGGAGGAAGATGAAGAGCGAATCCGACCAAACATAAGTAAGAACCCATATTATGGATTACATTGTGGCAATAAGGACAGTAAAATGATATTATTTCTCTGTTCTTCTTGTGTCTGCTAATAGCGGCCTTGTTTAAGGTGACCCAATCCGTGCTGGGAAGGGTGTGCCCCAGGACTATGTTCAGGGCTACTGTGAGGAATATTATTATTGCTATCTGGCAAATAAAATTTCTTGGATCCACTTGGAATTGGACTCTGACTGGACATGTTCACTTGAACTGCCTGAGGCACAGTCTTATTTGGAGTGAATTTGATTCTGTAAGGTGTACAGGGTTCTCCAGTTTCTAAGTGTGGCCACCTGTTGGATCCAGGTCTCCCCTGGATGGTAAGACTGCCCAGGAGGTAACCTGTGGTTGGGCCCATGCAGGACTATCTGTTTCTCTGAGGGAAGGGGTAATCCCCAAGGCCTTGAAGGAGGCCATGGTGCACCTGCTTCTTAAGAGGCTATCACTGGAGTCAATGATCCTGGACAATTTCCATCGTTTCCAACCTTCCTTTTTCAGGGTTCAGGGTTCAGCTCCAGAGGACCCTGAAGGAAACAGATTATCTGGACCCATTCCAGTTGGCTTTCAGACCAGGGTTCAGTACACAACCAATGTTGTTTTATTTGTCAATGACCTGTTGTGGAACTGGGATGGGGATGGTATCCATCCTGGTGCTCCTTGATCTCTCCGTGGCTTTCAGTACGATTGATCATGATATCAACTACTGAGTGAGGGCGGGTATCATAAATATTCTGTTACCCAATTGTACATCTCAATGCCAGGCTGACCAAGTGATACTATTGAAGTCCTGACCTGGTACCTGTGCAGGCCTGGATGGGGAAGAACACACTCAGGCTCAGCCCTAAAAAGACTGAGGGGCTGTGTTTTTTGGCCCGCTCAGTTCTGGGGATATTCTATCTTTAGACTTTGATGGGATTGCACTTCATTATGTGAGACTTGTGCACCATATAAGGGTCATCTTGGACTCACAGTTCCTGCTTGAAAAGCAGGTGGCAGTTGTGGCTAAGAGGTCCTTTGTACAGGTTCATCTTGTGCACCAGTTGCATCACTTTCTGGACCAGGAAGCACTTCAGACACTCATTCACACCTTGGTCACCTCACAATTGGATTACTCTAATGCGCTCTAGATGAGACTGCTCTTGAAGACCACCTGGAATCTATAGCTGGTCTAGAATGCAGCAGCACAGGCCGTGATGCTTAGCAAGCTATACTGGTTACCAGTTGGCTTTCGAATGCAATTCAAAGTGTTGGTTATTATTATAAAGCCCTTCCTGGCATAGGGCTTGGCTGCTTGAGGGACCACTTGTCTCTGAATGTCTCCACCTGTCTGGTGAGGTCAGGCAGAGTGGGAACATTTCAGATCCTGTTGATTAATCAATATTAACTTGTGGGACCAGGAAATGGACCTTCCCTCTTGCAGTGCCTGCCCTCTGGGATGATATCCCCTTAGAGTTCTGTATAGCTCTCACCCTAATGACTTTCAAGAAACTATTAAAAACTTGGTGGTTCTCCTAGACTTTGGGATAGGGTGGTTGTGGAGTGCCTATGGTTTTAGTCCTTAGGTATTGTGTTAGCCTTTGGTAAATTGTGTTTTCTTCTGATTTATGTTGTTGTTGTTTTTTCTCTTTTAGTTGTAAGCTGCCTAGAGTTGTTAAGTATTCAGGCAGCCTCAAAGTCAAAACAAACAAATAAATAAATCTTAGAGAAAATAGAAACACAATTTACTAAACCTGAATTAACTAGTTTAGCTTCTTAGTTGGAGAAGAACCCACCAAGAATGAAATCTGAGTTTCAGGTAATCTACAGTTCTCTTGCTTTAGAATAGAATAGAATAGAATAGAATAGAATAGAATAGAATAGAATAGAATAGAATAGAATAGAATA